GTCTAATTCGCTTGTTTTCGATCAATTCCGTTTGCGTGAGGCGATCCGTAATCGACTTCCGTTCAGAATATAGATACTTTTGCATCGCATTTGGCCTACACGATGGTTTGGATTGACAAGCTGACATAAAAATCAGCGCTTTTGGTCTCCGTGAGGAGGATCTTACCGAATAATCGACCCCGGCAGAAGCAGAACTACGTCTGTCAGGGCGAGAATCATACCAGGATTCGATTCCCTAGCCAAGCGTGTGTGCCTTCTTTTGTGATAGCAGTGAAGGAGAGTAGTGATCAATCAGTAGCAAAAGCATGGAGCCAGAAGGAGAAGCTAAAATAGGAGAGGCTGAAAAAATGACCTTGCCCAAGCAGTCAGAGGAGGAACGGTAGAAAGGTTTCGCAGGTGCACAACGCAACACTGCTGTTGATCAGCCCACTCCCTTATCTCTGTTCTGTTGTTCGCGAAAATTATGACAAATATAGAAAAGTAATGAAGCAAACAAGAAGAATGAAAGGAAATAAACTCGGGCAAACCCCCGGGAATCAGGGATGGAAGTAAGCTTCCCAACGCTGCACTCATTCATCAGATCCAATGTCCCCCTGTACCAGATATTGCATTTCACTTCCAGACTGAAAAAGATTTCACTTCCTGCTAAGGCCCCTCCAGGCCTCTATGTTCAGAGCAAACAAAACATCTTTTATTTTCGAAAACCTAAGGGGCTGTAGAGGAAACGATTTTTATAACCAAGAGGCAACCAAAAAGCTTCCTTTTTCAATTTTGACATCAATCTCTGAAAAATTCATTAAGAAAAACGAAACTCCCGAGATTTGGTAAGTTCTTTCTTTTGTGTGTTTGTTGAGTTTCAAGCATATTAACTGGACTTGCTCAGCCATCCGGAATGGCAGTTCGCAGAACACAATTAAAACTACCAATTTGGCCCAGAACAATGGAACCTTCCACAACTCCCGGAAACCCAATGCGATTAGTGTAGACAGCTGGTCCCAAATCGATTCCCATGGGCAGACTCAAAAAATACTATTCTTCTCCAAATGAAGGCTGCAGAAAAAAGATTCTCTGGTACTGGGAAAGCCTCTAATTGAGCAGCTCTCCATCGCCATTCATTGTCAATCGCAAAATTGATCGTGAGACCTCACAAAA